AGACTACAGTGAGGGCTAAGTCATCAACGTTAGGCGTAAACGAGGAAGGAGGCAGGCAGAAGTGACAGATGACACGACCACCCTTTTCTAGGCCTCAGGCTGAGATCGCCCAGGAGTGCAGACCTACCTGTGGCACCAGAGCAGGTGCCACGCAGGCCTGGTGCCTCGGGGCCTCAGGGAAAGGAAAGGGGCATCTGGGAGAAGGTGGGAAATGGCCGAACGCCGGGGTGGTTTAGAAGCGGAGAAGCTGGGGGTTGCTCTAGGCCCATCCCGTGAATAAGACCCCAAAGCCCCTCAATACCTGGGGCAGCCTCTGTCTCAGAGCATGCACTGGAGCGTCTCCCTGCTCCAAGGAGCCCGGACGGGACTCGGCATAACTCCCGGGGCGCACAGCCCACCAGTGCTCTGGACTTCACCGAGCTTCTTACTCTAAGGGTTTCAAAACACTTTGCAAGCAATTAAGGTTACAACACCTCTTTGGACTGTTGTTGCAGGCACTAATGGGGAGAAATATGGGTCAGGATTGGCTGGAATGACACGTGACGCCACAAATCCGTACATTTAATCTCTTCGAAGATTGGAACAAATCTGGGGCGAGCACAACCACTTCCATTTAGAAGGCTGGAATGCGAATGGTGAGCTGAATGTGCTGGCTAGATCGCTGATCTCTTTCATGTTCCCCTGTGTCCTCCGCGTGCTTGTCATTAGCCTAATGCAAGTAATATACCAACCTTCTATTCACACTGAACTTTCTAGAAGTTTCCCTCCCCCACTTCCTCTCACCCTCCCGATAGTCAAGTGAATCAACCAGATCAAATATTATTGGCTCTCTTTTATAGATTGAGAGAATGGAGGCTCAAGTGTTTTCCAGTCGCCTCTCAGGCATCAACAGCTCTGAACGGGGACATGAACTTGGGTCTTTGGACTCTTCCCCCGAGATTTCTGCCTCCGCACACCACCACAACAGATCTGGGGAGACTGGCGAGTGGAGGGTGGAGCAGGAGCACGGGCGGGCCGTCGGAATGCCAGAATGGATAACCGTTTTGCTACAGCGTTTGTAATTGCTGTGTGCTTACTTCCGCCATCACATGGCAGCCTCAGCTGGTACGGGGTGGGTGTATCAAAGTCCAGTTCCAGGCAATTCCAGTGATTTGAACAAAAGCATCTGGAATGACTTGGCTGTGCTGAGGCAGATGAAAAGGCTTATAATGATGCACTTTTCCGATACAATGGCCCAGTGGGGCTGTGGAGGCGGTGTATCACTACAGCCCCAAACACGCATTGGAACACCCAAGAAAGGACAGAGTCTTTCGATGTGGTCACAAGACGTATGAGTTTCACACTAAGTAAGTGAGCAGCTCATGGAGAAATTTGTTGATCCTGGAAAGCCCAGTAGTGGGGTCGCTCTGCTTCGGGCCTGTCCGTGGCATTGCTAGTTCCTTTCACCTTTCGTTAGTCTAGGATCGATGTGCTTCGGGGGTTTTGATTGCACTTCGGGCTTGAGAATGAGAAGCTCGTACCCCAGCTTTGCTCCGGCCGCGCTAGGTCTCCCTGCGGCTCGTGCACACTGGGCTCAGGGAGTTGCTATGGCGCTGGAATTGAACTCCTCCGCCAGAAACGAGCGCTGCCAGAGAATGTGTCCCGTGAATTTCGATGGCCCTTCCGCCTGGCTTGCGACGCGGCTTCTGCTGCCTTCCTTCGGGCAGCTCACACCCACCGGAAAGAGCGCACCTTAGCGGACGGAGGTGCATTGCCTGGCATGGTTGGGCAGCTGGCTGCTGTACAATCACCATTTTTCAAAATTTTAATTAATTAATTAATTTCTCACCTGAAGACTTTTTTCCCATTGTTTTTGCAGAGAGAGGAAGGGAGAGAGAGAAACATCAGTGTGAGAGAAAACATCAGTTGGTTGCGTCCCGCATGCACCCAGACTGGGGATGGTAAGTGCCTGGACTGGGGATCGAGCCCACAGCGAGGCATGCACCCTGCCTGAGAAATGAACCCATGACCTTTTGCCTATGAGACAATGCTCCAACCAACTGAACCACACCAGCTAGGGCAATAAAAACAATTTTTTAAAGAGTAATATTTTCTCTTATCTCTCCTTGTCTTCAGTTGTTTTTAAACTTTTTTTTTGTTTGAGGATATATCATTTTATCTCACAAATCCACTTTATGTATTCGCAGAGTTGTTTTTATTACTACTGAAACTTACATGCAAACAAACTAATCGGAGGTCGGAGTCCAGACATAAAGAAATGGGTGTGTACTTGGCACACATTTTGTGTTAGACGACCGATAGTGGACTCGGACCCAGTGCGGGTCTCTTCTTTATCCCCCAGCGAAGTGCCCTGTGTGGTGGGCACTTTGTTCCCATTTAACAGATGTGGGTGCTGAGACCCAGAGCCTGAACAGCGTGGCCAAGGCCACGCAGCTGGTGGGCAGCTGGGTTGGACTCCAGCTCAGGCCGGTGTGACTCTAGACCTTTGCCCCTTCCGGTCCTGTGCTTTCCACATGGGTCCGATGTGTTGGTCCAGCAACGTGCTGTCTCGTGTTTGGAGCAGCCGTTTTGCCGGTAGATTTTGAGCCAAGAAGCGCACAGCATGCTGGGCCGGCCGATTCGGTCTATGATTCCTCCCCTCTGAGATGGATCAGAATATGCTCATGGTACACTAAGGGCCACAGTAATTGCTTCACGTGAGTTAGCAAATGCACCCCCCACAGCACCCTATACAGCAGTGTCAGTATCCTCTTTTTACAGATGAAGAGTCTAAGGTTCAGAGAGGGTAAGGGTTTTGCCTCAAATCACACAGAACAGAATTCACATGCTAATTAACACACCCAGGGCCTTTAACTGGGCAGGCTAGTAAGCCTTTGTTTTCAGAACTGGGCAGAGACTTCATCAGGGATTTAGTGATGCAATGTGGGATCCTGGACCAGGAAAAATGCCGATAGTGGGAAATAAGAGGGAGATCCAAGTGAAGTCTGGAGTTTAATTAACACTGGCGTGCTGTTGTGGGTTTCTCAGTTGTGATCAGTGTCCCGCGGGATGTCAAAGGGTAACATCGGAGGAAATGGAATGAAGGATGCGTGGGAACTCTCTGTGCTATCTTTGCAACTTTTCTGTAAATCTAAAATGATTCCAAAACAAAAAGCCTGTTGAAATAAAAGATTTAGTCTCCATTTGCCCCATTTTCAGCCAAGGGAAGCCAAGGCTGAGACTGAGGAAGTCACAGCCAAACGGTGGCCAGGCCACTCCCGACCCGGCACCGCTGGGCCGGCCCTGGCTGCTCCCGCGTCCTGGGTGTTGGCTGGTGTGCGGTGGGAGACCTTCCGGAATGTGTCTGGAGGCGAATGAGGTGAATGTGTCAGGACCGTTTCTTGTCACAGGACATGGCATTTGGAAAAATGAGTTTCTAGTCTGACCTTTAGCTCGGTGACTCTGTGAGCGTCTCGTCAGTCCCCTCCTCCGGTCAGGGCTGGTGGTCAGCCACCGCCCCGTGAGCCAGCCTGAGGGCTGTGCATCCAGCCATGAATTTGAATTCTGTGCATCAGTAGCTAGAAGGAGGCTTGAGAGTGAGCTCAGGAAAACGTCCATGCGAGGAGTCTTGGCCTCAGGTTGAAGAGAGAGGAATGGGGCGGGGGCCGGGGCGGGGAGGGGCAGGGCAGGGCAGGGCTCAAGTCGGCTCCACACGGATCTTCCCAATTCCAAGAAGAGGTTGTCCGGCCTCTGGGAAGTGAAGAGCCGCCAACTCTGCTCCCTTGGGGTTTGCAGCAGGGCTCCCCACCTTCGTCGGTGGTGGGGCTGCTGCCTCCAAGGAGAGCAGGGATGTAAAGGATGAACAACTGGATCTCTTCTGCTGAGGTGGCGACATGCTTAGTTTCCACCAGCAGGGCGGTGGAGTGAGGAGCCCGGAGTGCAGAGGCCAGGGCTTGAAGAGGGGCTCCAGGGCTGACCGCTGGGGCCGCTGACCTGCCTCGGCCTCAGCTGCCTTCTCTGTGCAATGGGCTTAGTTAAGATGCTCACTTCCTGAGACTGTGCAGTTTAAACAAGATCACACTTGTAAAACAATCCCACGTGCCTGCCACATGCAAGACACTGGACACGTCTTGTGGGCTACCAGGACCCAGAGCCAGCGGTGGTCCAAAGCAATGTCAGGCCATGAAATAAACGCTGGCCAGAGTGTCTCACGTGTGTGTGCGCACTTGCGGAGGGGTCTTCGTGAGATGCAGACTCTATCCGGCCGGGCAGGGGGATGGGGCCTGGACATCCGCACCTCCAGTGATCCTGTGGGTGATTCAACGCGGCTGGCCCTTCAGACACAGTTAGAGCGGCGTGGGGTTGAAACCCGTTTCCAGAGACCTGTGAAGTCTCAGTTAATTCCTGAAAGCAGGCATATGCTGTTTAAATCGAGGAGAGGGGAGCAGAGAGGAACTGATCTTAGTGAGTAGCTGTTTGGCTTGGGGTATGTTGAGTGAATTATCTCTTGGGATCCTCACAGCATCCCTGAGGGGTGTTATCAACCCCACTGTACAGAAGGGGAACCAAAGCCTCAGGCATCAAGGGCTCAGGTTACAAAGCTCAGTAAAGGGAGGGACTGGGATAGGAACTTGGGTTTTCTTGCCTCCAACCCCTGCACCTTCCTCGGTACCTCCCAGGCAGCAGCTGGGGCCTGAGAACACGGCTCAGGCCATCTCAACCAGCCACGTCCTCCCTCTGGACCTCAGTGTCCCCGTGGGCATGGCGAGTGGCCCGGGTGTCACGGGCCTGTAGGGCCCCTCCCTCCCCGTCATTCCGTGTGCTCTCTGCTCTTACTCAGCCTTCCCTTGGCTGCTTCCCCGCTCTGCTGCCTAATTTGGTGCTGCCGGTCTGCTCGCAGCCCTCTCAGTGTCACGTTGTCAAGTTGGGAACACCAGCAGAGCTGCTGGGCACACTCCTCTGCCCCAAAGTGGACCCAGCGGTGCGGTGGCGACCAGAATAAACTGGCACCTGGGCCAGAGAGAACATTCTTCCACTCCCCAGAGAGGAGCCGCTCAGTGTCCCCGCAGGTAGAAAAGGCCACTTGCGTCAACTGGAAGTCATGAGGGATCCAGTGTCGCCTGAAGCCCCGTCTTGGAGTCTTAACCCCGCGGCGCCTGAGGGCTGAGAGGCTGGTTTGAGTGCACGTGTGAGGAGGCAGGGGCCTACGTGTGTCAGGCGGGCTCTGCTGGGCCTCCTGGGCTTGTAGACCAGAGGCTGTGAGGAGCGGGCGGGATGTCCGAAGAGCCTGTTGGCCAGAGCTGACATTCCTGCGTTCAAATTCCTGCTCTGCCACTTCCTAGAGCATGACCTTGGGGGAAGTTGTGCAATCTCCCTGGGCCTCAGTCGTTCCTCCTGTGGGACGGGGCTGATAGCAGTAGGTGTCCGGCTGGGGTGGTGGCGAGAACTGAACGGCATAATGCACAGAAAGCTCTCGGGACGGCGCCTGGCCCACGGGAAGCACTGAATGAACACGTAAGCCACGCCCACAGATGTGAAATCTCTCGGGGCATGGACTTCTCTGTTTTGTTTGTTGTTAGGTACTCAGTACCCAGAACAGCATCCAGCACATGGTAGATCGGCACAGATACTCGTGCAATGATTCAATCGGGGGGAGCCGCTAGAGTGGCGATTTCCAAACTGTGTTCCAGGGAACCCCAGGGTGCCCGTGTCACCACATGGTGGGAATGTGGGGAGAAACACTTGAGCGGGCGTCAGCAGCACTCTGCCACTTCCCCTGCCCAGAGCCTCTCTGATTTACATGCCACAGAGGTAGTGTGCTGGGTGAAGTTTTATTTGGAGGGAGATTTTTTTTTTTTTGCAGCTTGAAAAATAGTTAGAAAATCATCAATATCCCAAGCTTGGTCCCTGGGCCCTGGGTTGCCCTGGGTGAGGGCTGGGTAGCTGCTTCCCTGATCCCATCGAGGATCTACTGCTTCAGGTTTTTCTGGGGCAGAGGCACCCATTTTTAACCTGTTTCCTAGGGGATTTCTATTCATGCTAGCCCTCGAACACACGTGGCTAATCATCGTATCAGTGGGGGAACGGAGGCCTTGTTAGGCGAGGTGCCTGGTCAGAGTCTCGGGGGGCTGCTGGAAGGGCTGGTGGAAAGCTGTCTTAGCGTCTAAACCGGTGATTCTTCTACGTTGTGGCTTCTACTTCTGTGACTTTGAACACAGGCGAGTCCGGAGACAGTCCCCGACCAGGTTTTAAGAGGGAGCGCCGGGAGGGACACAGGTCTGATCAACCCTACCTGGACCTTCTGGCAAATTTCTGCTTCTTAGAGCGTTGGCTTTGCCCACTGCTGCCCTGGGGGAGGCGCTCAGCGGGTGCTGGCTGCACGGAAGGAGTGGACGAAGGCGTGGCTTTCTTGTGGACAGGTGTGAGCGGACAAGAAGCAGTGTAATGGCAGGCAGTGCTGAGCTCCGTGAAGAAAACCAAACCAGGTAAGGGGTGGCCCCCCTGCATGTACCTTCTTCTAGAAGTTGTCTAGTTTTCGGTTTTCACGGAGATCCATGATGCGTGTTGAGATGTTGAGTTAACTTCTATATGTGATGTCAAGTTAGTTTTTTTTTTGAAGTGTTAATGAATGGTTCTAACCCCATTTGTTCAAAGATCTGCTTTCCAGACAGCAAGACGGAGAGATCCGGGCTTGCCCACTGTGCGTGCAGAACAGAATTCCTGGGCCGGGTGAACGATGGCAGAGACAGGGCGAAGGTGCCCTCGTGGGGAAGCCTCGTGGGGGAAATCGGGCTCCGAGGGACCCACCCCGTGGCCCTCGCGGTAAAGAACGCCAAGGACCTCCACCGCGACGCCAGCAGCCGGAGAGCAGGGTGCGGGCCGGCCCGGGTGGTGCCTGGGGGCGTGTTTCTCCTGGTGTTCTCAGAGACTCGCACTGCTCTTGCATAAAGCGCAGATTAGGAAAGCATTAGGTAACGAGAGGGTGGCCAGAGCGTATTACACAGCAGCCTGGCGCGGGGCCCCGGAATGCGGCCTGCGGGGATGGCCTTGCGGAGCAAGTCAAATATCTCTGGAACCAGGACAGGCATGGCTTCCTCTGTCCCTCCTGCAGCCAGAAGGGAGATCCTGCCGGCCCGGCTGCTCTCCGGGGCCTCCTCCGTGTCTCTTGGCCTGTGGAGGTGGGACAGAAAGCTGGGAGCCCCTGGGAGCCGCACGCTTTGATGCGTTTTAAGGAGGAGGCTTGTTGCTGAGGCTTTGCCCAGAGGAAGGTGAGCAACAAGTGAAAATGGATTCTGGTCCTTCTGCCTCCTGCAGTCCCCACCTCGCCAGCCCTCCCCCACTGTCCTGGCAGATGGACCTCACAGGGAGCTGCTTCTTTCAGGACTAATGCTATCTGTCGTGGCTCAGATATTCGGTGAGCGTTTGCTGTGAGCTCACAAATACGCCCATTCGTAGGCCCCAAACCTGCTCCGTGCCCTCTTTGTGTTCCCACTCCAACTGTGCAAGACGTGAATTCATGTGCATTAAAGGTGAAAAGGAAACTCACCTTCACCAAGGGCCTCCTCTGTGCCAGACGCCGTGTCAGGATTCTCCAGATGTGTCCCCACAGCAACTCTGTGAGAGAGAGGTGGTCACCTTCACCCCTAACGTGGAACTCGGGGCTCAGAGAGGTTAAGTAACTCACCCAAGGTTGCACAGCTAAGAAGTGTCAGAGCCAGGGCATGAACTCCAGGCTATCTGACTGCAGAGCTTGTGAGCTATCACCAAATGATGTTGTCGGGCTGTATACCACGACCTCAGCTGGGGGCTGGGGGACACAGGAACACGAGCCACGGCGTCTAACGGCAGGGCCTCGGTGTCCAGTGAGGGGCAAACAGAAATGCCTGTGAAGCCGAGATAACACAGGTGTTTCTTGTTCCTGAGGACCTTAACAGTTTTGAGCAGTGCACACTGGTCTGGTATTTTACAGCATAGTCTGTAATTGGGGTTTTCATCTGCTGTTTTCCTCATGATTAGTCTGGACTTTGGGTTTTGGGGAGGAAGACCATGGAGGTCAGAGTTGCACTCGTTTTTAAGGTCTCAGTTCGGTTAGCTGAGATGAAAATGTTGACATCATATGCTTGCGAAACTGCCGTAGTCATAAAGGGTAAGAGGACCCGAACTCAGAAGCGAAAACAAAAATAAATCACACGACCCTTTCTTCAGCATCTAACTCCCTTCTCCCCTCCCCCTCCCCCAAACCAACAGGACTGCCACCGCTGGGTCCTGGGGACTCTTTGTAGCGGAAGGAAACCGACTCGAAGGGGCCAGGAGCGGAGGCACCTTCCCCTGCCTCTTCCTCACTCCTCGTTCTGTTTCAGTTTGCTTTCTGAGCACATCTTCCAAGGACCTTCTAAGAAGGCAGGAATGTGGTTCTGTTCTCAGGGGTCTGCCCAGCCAGAGAGCTCCCCACCCCCCACCCTCTCGTGCATTTGTCAGATTCCAGAAGCTATGTTTGGGATGGAAAGACGACTGAGACAGGGCTGCTGCTCCCAGGAGCTGGGGTTTGGGATGAACACGATGAACAAAACCACTGGACAGATGAGGACACCGAGGCACAGAGGGACTGACCAGCCCGCTCACGGCCATGCACCTGGTCAGTGGTCCAGCTGTGAGCCTGGCAGTGGGCCCCAGAACACTGTCCCTGGGGCGGGCGCCATCAGTCTGCCCGGGAGGGAATGAGCGGCAGCGAGTGAGGGAGCGAGCTGAAGCTAGCCAGCCGGGATTTCCGCGAGACCCCTCCAAACTGCAGAGCCCACGCTGCTGACCACTGGGCCGTCTTCCCCTAGACTAGACGTGTGACTTGGGGCCTTTATTTTGAGCTTCAGTTGCCCAGCTTCAGTAAAGCCTTCCCAACCTTCCCCGGTGGGCTGCGGGGGTGCTTGGTGGAGGGCCCGTGTGAATAAACCTTGGGGTGTCATACAGACACAGTCAGTAGGCTTTAGTTGACTCAGTGATGTCCTGGGTCTTTGGGACCGTGGCAGGGGCCACGGAGGAGGAGGAGGGTTGTCACTGCGTGGGAGCGGGGAGCCCAGCCTCTCCAGTTCTCTCTGAGGCTTCATAGAGCCCCAGCCACAGGCCCCCGTGTCAGACGCCTGCCACCCAGGGTCTCTGCATTCGAGGGAGTTCACCTTCTGAAGTAGCCCCTCCCAGCCTGGGGGCCTTGGCTGTGCATCTTCTGTGCGGGCCCTGGTGCCGTCCCATAGGATGACTCCGTTGTCATTCACGAAATTAGTTACCTGTTGGTCCAGAAGTCACATCAGGAGAAACAGAGAAAGTCACGTGACAAGACACGGGACAGGCGTGCTCTCTCAGGGGATGGTGCTGTGTTGGCACGGGTCCCCACTATTTACCCAGTGCCAGAAAGCTAGCACATTACCTCCTTCTGTAAGGTCAGCTTCAGGGCTCCCAATGAATGGGTGTAAAATAATGTCACATCATGACATGTCATCCTCCTGAATGACAACCGTCATCTCTGTCAGGTGCCAAGGTTCCTTGAACATCTCGGTCCTGTGCCTGATCTGTGTGTCCACTGGGAAAATGAGCGTGGGAGGGGGGGGAATGGGTGGCCCCTCACAGTCCTGCTCCATTGTCCTCTCAGGCACGAAGCCTTTCACTCCGATCTTGTTTAAATCCCAGCGCTTCCCTTCCAAATGGTTGCTAAGGGGAAACACAAAAAGAACGTTCCAGAATGCTCTGCTGACCCAGGGAGGATCTGCCGGAGCCGTTTCCTGGATGACAGCCTCCCCCCCATCAGCAGATTGTGTGAAGCAGGCTCCTGTCAGCTGCGAGCCCTGGGGTGGGAAAAAGGGCTGACACACAGGGCTCTGTTTCATAGAGCTGACATTTCTCATGAATAGCAAATCCCCGAGTGTGGGCAGTCGACCAAGACCAGGAATCCTCATTAGCTGGTGGTCATCAGGCATGACTCGGCCTGCGGAAGGCAGCGGGGAGGAGAGGTCATCCATCCGTGTGGGCAGGGACGGCCCGCAGTCGATGATCGAGCACCATCTTGCTAGAGAGGTGGCGGCGAAAAATGCTGGAATGATCTGTACGGGTCAGTAACTCCCTGCACCTCCCCAGCAGCTCCACGGCTCCGCCCCTCCTTGGGGACCTCCACCTTCTGTCAATTCAGCAGCCAGAGGGTGAGGGCTGACCTGGCAAAGTCTCCCAGACAGGGTCCAGCTGACCAGGTGAGACCCTCCGTGGACGGATCTGTGGCCAAGCGGTGGGGACATACATGACCTGCCCGTCCTGGCTCCAGAGACACCGTTCCTTTCATAGCCCCGCTGAGACCTGGGCCCAGGCCCCCACCTTCTTCCTGTTTCCCAACAATTCGACCTCTGATCCCATCTCTGTAGATGTGAGGGACATCGAGGAAGTGAGTTAACCCGATCGTTTCCCATCCAGAAGCCCGGTCCCACCCTTCTCACGTCCACGCTCCCAGCAGTCGGCATTGGCTGGTCCCCCTCCCCTCTCGCTGAGGCGCTTCCTGGCCTTCCCAAACAGACTGAGTCACTTCCTCCTCTGGGTTCCCATAAGTTCAGAAGCCATCCTTTCTCTGTGATCCAGTTTTGTTTTATGGACACAGTGATTTTATCTTACGGACACATGAAGTTTGCGATTGTTCCTTTTCCTCTTTTTGCGTTGGCTTCTGAAGCCCAGAGCCAGGTCCTAGCTCCCCCTGGTCAAGCGATTACGTGCGCTTTGAGAGCTGACTTTCTCCCTGGCTTTATCTTTCCGTAACCTTTCTCCCCTCCATTGCTTTATTAATATGTATATCTGTGTTATACTCATCTATGGGCCCCACTGCAAATCAAAAAAAAATCTTTTTGTGCTATCAACTTTCACGAGGTCTAATTTCCCTAAATAAAATGCATCCACTGTAAGTAATATACTGTTGATGCGTCTGACAAATGTAAACACCTGGGTAACAGCCACCTTAGTGATGACGTGGGCCACATCCCTCTGGCCCCCAAATTCCCTTGTCCCCTTTTCCACGCCATCTGCCACCCCACCCTGGTCCCTGGTGCCACTGATCAGCTTCCAGCCACGACATGTTAGATTTGCCTTTTCCTGGAGTTGCATGTACATGGAACCACGTAGTATGTGTGGTGATCTTTGCATGGCGGTCCTTGTGTCTGGCTCTGTTCACTTGGCGTGACGATGCTTCTGAGGCGCGTCCGTGTTTCTGTGAATACCAGCGACGGTTCCTTTTTATGGCCTGGTCGAGTTCCATCGTGTGGCTCTGTCATGGCGTGCTCTTTATGCCCCTGCTGATGGACACGTGAGCTATTTTCATTTCTGAGTGACTGTGAACAAAGCTGCTCTCAGTATGTATGTATAAATTTGGGCGTGGGAAAAGAAAAGACAGCTGGTGCATTCGTTGGGGTGCTTCGGGGAAACAGAACCTCATAGGATTCATTCACTCATTGGAATTGGCTCACGTGATGACGGGGGCCGACGGGTGCTGAGATCTGTAGCTGCTGAGCCGGAGACCCAGGAGAATCGAGGGTGTCGCTCCTCCCCGCAGCAGGAGGCAGGCTCCAGACCCAGGAGGAGCTGATGTTTCCCTGTGAGTCTGAGAACGCCCCAGGCTGTCAGGTGGGAGGAAGTCCCTCTTACCACTGGGGAAGTTCAGACCTTTTGTTCCGTTCAGCTTTTCAATTCCCTGGATGAGACCCACCCATCCTCCCTGTTGTTAAAGAGGACGACCTGCTTTACTCAGTCAACTGATTGAAATGCTAATCTCATCCCAAAACACCCTCCCAGAAACAACCAGAATAAAGTCAGAATAAATGTGGCCCAGTGGAGCTGACCTGTAAAATGAACCGCCACACCTGGCGTCAGTCAATGCACAAATACGTATGTGTAATCTAATTCGATGATGGATTTTGGCTTCAGGGCTTGCCTTCCGCACGGAGAATGCCTGTTTATCGATGAGGAAGGCACTCTCATTTGCAGGGACTAGGAAGTCCGGTACCAGTAACTGAAGCAAATACATGTTTTTGCTACTCAGACCGCAAGAAGTCTGGCGGCGGATGGACGTGGCATTGGTTCCGTGTCCCAGGGATGCCACCAGACACCTGAGCGCCTTCTCTTTTTCATCGTCCACGTCCTGGTGCAGTGGCCTCATGGTTGCAGGATGCAGGGTCGCCGTCCCCAGGTCTCAGGCCATGAACGAGGCAGGGTGGGGTGGGGGGGAAGAGGCCCAGGGAAGCAGACAGCCTGAGGGACACGGCGAAGTCTGACCCTTTTTACTGGGAGAGCAGAATCTTCCTGGAAACCACAGCTGGTAGATTTCTCCTTCTAGCTCATTGGCCGGAACTGGGTCCTGTTACCACCCCTAAGTGTCAAGGAAACTGGGGAGCAGGATTGTCGCATCTGGTGTAGCCCCGTCAAAAAGGCACGTTGTTGCCCCAAGGGACTTCCGAGTTCTGTAGCAACGAAGGAGTGTGCAGCAGGTGTTGGGCAGCAGTCACTAACTCCATCTGTCACTCGTGAAACTCATCAGGAAGGCCTTAGCCTGGTGCCCAGCACACGAGGGCACTTAAGA